CCGACCCGGATGCTTCCATAATCCTCCAGTAGGCGACCGCTGCATAAGCCAGCTCACTGGCGTCTGCAAATATGTGCAGTTCCACTGGAACGCCCATGAACGAGGTGCTGTAACATCGCGGAACGCTGAGGTTGACCAAATCTTCGAGCATCGCCACCCATTTTCTCCAAAGAACTCCTGGATCCACTGGTATCACGTCGTCCCACTCGACCCGCTTCCTCCAAGTCAGTTGCAAGATTAGCTTGGCTACCAAGGAACATTCTGCTGCTAGGCCGAACGGATCGAAGATAGACATGGTGACACTTAGCCATTCCATTCAGTAAGTTTCTGTCAATCTTGTCGATCGCTGTTGCGAAACGCAGTGCATCCTTACCAGTGTCCCAGCACATACCAAGCACCTTTTGAAATGTCCCAGCTTCCTTATCGAGGCTAAAGACTTTAGGCTTTTCTGCGTCATCGTTGAATCTTTGGTTAACCAGCCGGGAATTAGAAACAAAGCGTGTTAGGTCGAATCCGGCTCTCTTGTGTATCCACACGATTTCAGGAAGGATTCTCAGGGCATCGCACTCACAGGTAAATGAATGAACTAGGTCGTCGACGTAATGGTTGTTGAGGATAGCGCTGACGGCTTCCGGAAATCTTTCCGTGAACTCCAGAGCGTTACTATTTTTTACGTACTGCGCTGAGCAAGGCGAGCAAGTTGCTCCAAATGTCATAACCGCCATTGCGTACTCCTTGATTGGCTCGTCTGGGTTTGCTCTCCAAAGGAATCTTTGCGCTGCCTGATCACTCTCTCGCATCATCACCTGGTGAAACATCTCGACGATATCCGCGCGTACCCCGATCCCTCGCTGGCGAAATTTCATTAAGACCGCTGGTAGAGGCTGGCACTGATCAGGTCCGCTTGATAACGCAGAGTTAAGGGAGCAACCATCGACCTTCGCCGCAGCATCGAACACGAGTCGAAATTTTCCTGGTTTGTTTGGGTTGTGTACTGCGAAGTGAGGAAGATACCACGTCCGGTCACTTTCAGCAGATAATTCGTCCTCATGAAGTTCCCTAGAGTAGCCCTTTTCCAGGTATTCTGCCATAACGCGCACATACTCTCTCTTGAGATCGTCATCACGTTCGAATTTCTTCTCCAGTAAGATCAATCGTTTTTCAGCCATTGGTCGACTATTCGGCAACTGTGGATCTTCCCGTCTCCATAAAAGTCCAGTCTCGTAACGCTCGCCCTTACGGACCGTCGTACTTTCCAGAATAAACTTGGATCTCTTAACATCTTCGCTTTCGACCGTCTCGACGCATCGGACGCCCAGGTCTTCACTGGCCACGAACTCTTCCACTAACTGATGCAGCGCCCTGACTATGGTCTATGTCCGTATAAAACACCTGGTGTATGTTCTCGATCGGTCCTCTTTCTGTAGGACCGTACACGACCCAACCTAGCTTGGTCATGATTACCGCCGGACCCTTCCATCCATCACTGGCAATCAGTAGCTCTGGAGTAACTTCGGTGTAGTTGCATACGGGTAGCTTCTTCATGTGGCGATATTTCGATGAAAGCTCCTCGATATTTAACGTCTGCATCGGCAATCGCAGATCAGACACTGTGTTAACGTTCCTCAGGTTGAAAATTCTACTATTTTTCCTGGTGCCCGAAATACCCAAGTCCACGCGCGTAGACATCTCTGTTGCGGTGTTGCTGCCGAACCATTGAAGTGTCAGCTTTTCCTTTTTCCCTTCCAACCCAAGTCTCGCAGCCAAACTCTCGTTCATCAATGTAATCGCCGTACCTTCGTCGAAAAATGCATAACTATCAATTCGCTTGCTCCCAGCATACAACCTAACCGGGACAATTTTGAACAAAATCTTTCTATATGTGGGCCTAACTACGGCGCTGGTAAGCATTGGATGCGTTTGCTGCTTATTCGTTTCATTATTGCGTTCATTTAAAAGCTTATGCGTCCCCCTGGACCCTACACCTCGACTACGAGTTGGGCAACGGTTACCGGAATGACCCGGTCGCAAACAACAAAAACAAAGTTTATGTAGACGGGCAACCCTCCACCTCTGATTACAAGGCACATCTAAAAACTGCTTACATTTTGCTACGTCATGACCTTCCGAACAAATTCGACAAGTACTACTACTCGGAGCTACTTCGTTGGCGTGAAAAAATCGCTGGCGTTGATCACCACCTAAGGCTGACTTTGAGCGCTCGTTTATGTTCGCGCATGCCAAACTAACAACGCGAGCCAATTCTTGCAACCAATTGCTGAAATCTATAATCGATGCTCTTGGAGTAATCGTCACCGCGTACCTAGCCCACTCCAGCCTCCGTTGAACTGGCAGTTTACCTAACAATTCATCCATAAGGGTCGGGTTGCATAAATGATGGTCACAGTTTGCCGCTT